TGTGTGTGTGTGTGTGTGTGTGTGTGTGTGTGTGTGTGTGTGTGTGTTACAGAGACAAAGACAGCTTGAAAGGAGAAAGAGAAGTTGCGCTTTATTTTTTTCATCGAAATTCCCCCGAAGAAAGACGCAGTCCGTCGATCCACTCCTTTAAACTGATGAATCCATCGCTGTCTTTGTCAAAGCCCTGAAAACTGAGAGCAGATAAATCATTCTTAATATTTTTTTCTGAAAACATGACTCTGTAAAAGTACAATTATTAAGTCAAAAGGCAAATTATAGGCCAATCAAGCTTTTAATTAATAAATTACACAAACGGTGAAAACCTTTAATTGTCACAAAAATCTGCTCATTTTAATGTTGATGTTTTTTAAACTTGTACATTTGTTGTACATTTTAACCTGACTAAATGTGATTTATTTCAATATTTTTTTATTTTTGAGTTTTGTTAACTTTGTCCTAACATCAAAGTTCATGTTCAATCATCCAGGTACAAAATCCAATAATGGTCAATCAGATCATCTGGACAGTTTCTTGATTGTGGAAAGACGTTTCGCCCTCTATCCAGAGGGCTTCATCAGTCTGAAGAGTCCCAAGTAAACTGTTTTCCCCACTAAGCAGTACACTCCATTAGTGGACCAACCAGTTTGCTGGAGATAAGATGGTTTCTGGCTTGTGACACCAGTTAGCGAAAACTGCGCGCGACCGAGCACGGAATAAAAGAACGAGCTAAATGTAAAATAAAAAGTTTAAATGTTCTACTCACAGTGTTCCACCTGCTTTCAGATTTTTTTCAGCGAGGGTTTTTATCAGTTTCCTGTTCATAGCCGACATGCTGAAAGGTAGAGACGTTGCTCAGTAAAAGGGGTCGATGGTGATGCGCCGTTTCCATGGTAACGGATGGTTAAACCCGGAAGTCTTCGAGCTTTACAAATAAAATGCCCATCAGATTTATTTTGTCCAATTCTTACTTACAGTTTAAAATGATAATACAGCTCACTGTTTATCTATGTGTAGTTTATAACACACAGTAAAGAATTAAAATAAACTAGTATTTTTTTGTAGGGTAGAACTACTAAACCAAAGAAAATAAATGTGTAAATGTATATATCTTTTTTTAATAAGAATGTAAACACTAAAACACAGGCTTTATTACGAGTCCATTTTTTATATCCTTGTTTGACATACAACAGCATATTAGGGAAACTTTAGAATATTGTTTAGTTAGCTTTTTATAAATACAGATCATTGTGAGTTTTAAGCTGTTTTCAAATATTTCAGCTGAATGACTTGAAGTATTTTGTTGTAAACCTTACTTTGTTCTTTTGTAATACTGTACAGTATAGAAACCTTTGATAGGTGAGCAAAACTGCACTTTCTGTTCATATTGTCAATAATTTGCCTCAAATGTCAAAATGTTTGATTTTCTGGAGCAGTGGACGACGCTGTGAGTAACACTAGTTGTAACTGATCAAAATGCTTCACTGTTACTTTTGTTTATACCATGTTGTCACAGAAACTTTACTCACTTTTTACAGGATATATACACATACAAACATACATACTGTATTTGGCCTGTGTTTTAGTTTTGGCAGTTATCCTAAATGTCTATTTGACAAATGAAACAAACACTTAAGATAAAACATTAAAATAAGTTGACGGATAATGAATCATTGCATCAAACAAAATGAGAAAGCAGAGGATTCAGTTTCCAGGGAATGTACTGAATCCTGACTAATGTTTTACCAAATATATGTTTAAATAACTAAAAGTTTTCTAAGTAGTCTATTGAACACAAAACTAAAAAAAGGCAGACGAGTCACTTTCCATGTGTTAAAGAGAATTGTTCAATTATTTCTATTGTAACTCTTGGTGTTATAGTCTAAACATTAATTGATTGTTACTCATTAAACTCAAAAAACACCTAACATGTAAATTATATTAGGAATGAAAATAGCCTTGATTCTAAGCACAAAAGCATCCACATTAAAGATCCCAAATAAATATAAAAAGTTCATGTGAGCTGTTTAAACTCATGACATGAGCTTCATTCATTTCAAAAAAGTTCAATCTGGTCCTCTGGACATTCAAAAAAA